AAAAAAAAAAAAAAAAACTCACTCTGGTCTTCTCCCTCTTGCTTCACTTCTCCTCAGCCGGGCTTCAAGAGGCCGTAGGGAGAAGTGGGATGGGCAGGAAGGGCCCGCACACCAGCTCTTCCATTCGCTGGTCTCCATGGGTGGGGGCCTCTCTGAGCTTCACTTCCTGCCCACCCCCCAGCTGAGAGCCCACCTGCCCTCGGTGGGAGGCCCTGTGGCCGAGGCAGTGGCACTGACGTGCCCGCGGCCCCCCCTTTCCTTCGCGGCTACCTGCCTTCCACAGGCACCCCACTCACCCAAGCTGGCGACGTGTTCTGTTCTCCCCCCACCCTTGATGGCTACGGGGTTCTGCCCTGAGGCTGCTGCCCTACAAACCACCCGCGGGGAGAGCGCACCACAGAACCCGCCCGAGGAGCACCAGCCTGGAGACATTTTCCAATGACACTTGGTACCTGGGCACAAAGATGGAGTTGTGCAGAAAGTTCTCGAAGACTTTGCGGTACTCGGCCTCCTCCTTCTCGGCCTGCTTCTCGGCCTCGGTTTTGGGGCAGGCGCAGCAAGGCCCCTTCTCTCCGCCGCACACCTCGGTCTTGGGATTCTCCGTCACCTCTTCTACGTCGATGGTGCCGTCGGCATACTTCCTGATGGGGATTTTGTCTGCTCGGGGAAGAGAAGCCCGACAAGCGCAGACATGAAAGCCAGGTCAGACGGGCTGGGGAGCCGAAGGGGGCAGCCGTCAGCCCGTCTGATCGAGAAGGTGGCTGGTTTCCACCGAAGGGCTCCAACTGTCAGGGGGTGTGTGTTACATCGGGGCGTGGATACGTCCGGACGGCGGAAGTTGGGTTCCGGGTCCCCCCTCCCCCACCCCCCTTACCTTTGGAGCAGTAGTTATGCCGGTAAAGGTAGCTGTCCTGAGGTTGCCGCTGCCATCTCACGATGTAGTAACTGAGGTTGCCGTTGGGCAGGGAGGGCGGGTTCCACTTCACGATGAGCTGAGAGGAGGAGTTGGACGCGGAAAGAACGTCCAGGGGAATGGAAGGAACTGGAAAGGCGAACAAAGGACGCTTCAGACAATGGAATGAACCCCGAATCCAGGCGCTCAGGCGCTCGCTGCAAGCCCACAAGAAGCCGCAGGCTGGACCCGGATAGGGAAACGGCGGTGAATGCGGACACGTGAAACAAGAAGTGAACCGTGTTTTGGAATCGTATCAATTTAAATGCCCACATTTCTCTCTGTAGTATCTACTCTCAGGTCAGCTCTGTGAAAACAAACATGACTGAGCGGCACATGGAGGAAGGTCGGGGCGGGCGCACGCCAGGATTACAAGTGGGTGGCTTAAAAACCTACAGCTAATTCAAACATCGGATTGCTCTCATTTATTACATCCACCGTTCTCCAAATCGCCTGACTCCAGCAGTTCTACCAAGTGGGGAAACGGACTGACTTGGGTTTCATCTGAGATTCTGGAGCTCTGATAAAAATGGCAAGATGCCAAAATGAAAGGGGAAGTGAGAGAGGGCTGGATTGTGTGTGCACGTGAGTGTGTGCATGGGGTGTGTAAGAGGCATGGAGGAAGAGGGCCTGCAAGTCTCTCAGTTCTATAACCACACTTCCACGGGATGAATGAGATAGGACTAGGAAAAGCAGTCCACAAACCCAAACACACACAGAGCCCCGACTGCAAGCAATGGACTCTGTTACCAGCCGAAGAATATTCATTTACAGGCACAGCATAATAATCTGGCCAAGCTTTATTTTACTACTGCCTCCCAAACCGAAACCCAGAGCTACCTTACATATAAAGGGCAAACGCATCCCAGGACCACTGAAATCTTATTTTCCTTGGGTTCACAAGAAAACAATGATTTTTGGGGGTTTTCCAAAGTGCAAGAGACCTCTTTACTGTCTATCACTTAAACAACACAGTCATCCAAGCCACTTTTTTAAAATTTCAAAGGGGCGAAGAGTTTAAGGGTACTTTAAGGCCCCTAATATCACAGACAAGGTTCTGAACACCTGTACGGAGTGATGCTTTAGGGAAAGGCTGTGACTTATGCCAGCTTTCAGGAAAAACATAACCACTGGATGCTCGACCACTTTCAGTTACCAAAGTCAAGTATTTTAACAATAAACAGCTCACCCCTAAGAGTTTCAAATCTAAGTGTCACAAAAAAGCAGAGGCAGAGGACCGAGTCTTCCTCTGTCCCCACCACTTGTAAGGACAGGGGCCAAGATGTAGGGAACTGGCCCAATTTGTATCGTGCTTAGTTTTCCATCTTTGGGGAAAGGAAATACGTTTCTTAAGAATTTGTCATATAGGGGCGCCTGGGTGGCTCAGCTGGTTAAGCGACTGCCTTCGGCTCAGGTCATGATCCTGGAGTCCCAGGATTGAGTCCCACATCGGGCTCCCTGCTCAGCGGGGAGTCTGCTTCTCCCTCTGACCC